CCGGATGCTACTGGCAACAGCCGTGTCTGGATATTGGCGGATGTTTCTACTTAATGTAAATATTGACTTTGCCATCGTATAGCACCGGCCATCGGTCTTCGTTTCAAAATCGCGGTAGAAATTCAAATGCAATCCGCGTCCCTTTTTCATTTCATCGTTCCCATGGTCTGGACCAGAAACGGAGAGAGAAATGTTAAACGAAATTTCGATTGCACAAAGTGCCGTGTGTTCTCTCTTTCCTTTTTGCCTCTGTAAATAACCCAATCGCTATATAGATCAGACTATTACATGAGTTGCTTTTTGAATTCACGTGAAACCGAGGACAGCGGAGGATCGAAGGAGACAGGGCCAAAGCCCATGGTATACCACGAAGTCGACCGAAGTTTCTCCATAACAAATAAAGCGGGCAGATATCGTCGCTTCGGTTTGGCGGATCTTTTTACAAAGCATTCTTTCTCTGAGAAATGATAAGGAATGGTCACGCAATCGTCGGATCTATTAACTTGAATGATACGAAATATGTGATCCCGGCGTTTTGGGATTCTCCTGTTCGTCATTCGTATCGGCCCACTTTTCGCCTCGTTCCGTCGCGATTTAAATACGAACAGTCCAAATTTAAATCTCCGCGCTTCGTGATTAATTATTTTTATAAGAACTGCGCTCTCTCTCTCTCTCTCTCTCTCTCTCTCTCTCTCTCTCTCTCTCTTGGCGCATCTGATATTTAAGGTATTCTATTATTATCGGGTCTTAATCATTTCTTCAACGTTGGGAGGATGTTGCGAGTTGGCTGGCCGAATGATCCGGATTTTTTGACTGTCTGGATAATCCGGATATTTGAGTATTCGGAGTACATATATAGTCGTAGAATAATTCGATTAGTTAAAAATATCCCGATAATTCGGATAATTCGGACAATAATAAAAGAGAAAGTACGCAGAACTATGGCTTTAACTTAAATCCATTACTGTTACACTTTAGAGACTAAAAATAAGCCTTAGATAAAAAGAATATTTTTTGAAGACAAGAATATAACGGGGGTTATGTTGTAATATAGTACGGGTTATGTTGTTGAATAAAATTTATACGGTTATATATCTGCGTAAAGATGTAATTATGTAAATCCAAACGATATCCAGACATCCGGATATTTACGAGAAATAGTAGTTACTAATTATGGCCACAGCACTGTTAAAATATATGTGAGACTTGAATTGTATTTGATAGTTTGCAAAATTTCTATTTGAATTCAAAAAGTTGTTGGCGGAAAAGGATATTATAAACAAAGAAAAAATATTTTTTCCAGAGTTAGCAGGTCGATATCTCCTGCACTATTTTCATTATAGGAACAGTATTACCAACAGATGGTGAAGATTGTGACATGTTTGTGTAAGGTATTTCATGCAAACGAACACGAGTGTCATCAGTGTATGTATATAATTTTTCTCATCAGAAGATCAAGAGCATTTTACAAGATTTACTTGTATTGTAGCACAGAGTTATGTTGGATCCGACAGTAACGTCATCTGTCTTTGAAATTTTTGAAAATTTTTATTTTACATAAAATTAAATAAAGAACCAGAATACACACCAACTAGTGATACTTAAAAAAATGGGAACATAAAAACGTTGACATAACCTTGAAATTATAAATTCATTACAATTGTGAGATCTCCTCACCCCTTTTGACCATATGGGGTCTTCTCAGAAGTTATTTTGTATTTAAATTGAAATAGTTAAGTATTAAAATTAAATCCAGAGATTTAATGATTTGGCAATAATGTATATAAAGTAAATGCGGAGATAAATAAACCAAGTATTGTATTTGTTGCTGCAACAATTCTTGTTTCGCAGAATACATTTTAAATTTAATTAGAAAAGCTGGAACCTTTTTGTACAGAATATTATTTGCGAAGGATCTATGAAAACCGTAAGCGACAAAACTTAGACAGCAGAAAAAATGTCCAACATATTAATTCACAAAAAATCTCCACATCAATGAATTCACTCAAACAAGCATCCAGATGATATTAATGGAAAATGATGAATTCGTCCAAAGAAGTATTCAAAAGTTATTAAATAAATCGTTCAAAAAACCTCCAAGAAATGTTACCCCCCCCCC